AATCTTTACCTACACGAGTGATGAAAGGTTTAAGGTGAGATAACTCTTTCTCTCTATATATGTATCTATCTCTGTGTCGTATTTATCAATTTATCCAAACTGTATAACTATCAGTTAGTCTCTCTGTGTGTGTGGGTATCTTTGTATGTACATATCTATACCCATTTATGCAAATAGAGATGTAAAATGAAACGGAATGATCTAATTAGTAATTGTAAGACCGCACTGAACGATACTCTTCCGTTTCGCACAAGGTATTTCATCCCGAAGAGAGCGACATCTGGAATCTGGAGATAAGTTCAGTCACCTTCAGGGATGCTGGTGTTTATGAGTGCCAGGTGTCCACGAGTCCGAAGATCTTCCTGCCTATTCTTCTCAGCGTTGAAGGTGAGTTCAGAGGAAGGGGGTGGGTATGGGTGTGAGAAGGGGGGAGGGGAGTGGTATGTGTGTGAATAGGGGAGGGGAGGATGTGTGTGTATAGAGGGGTGGGGTGTTTGTGTATGCGTACGTGTGTATGTGTTTGTGTGTGTGTGTGCGTGTTTGTGTGTGTGTGTGTGTGTGTGTGTGTGTGTGTGTATGTGTGTTTGTGTGTGTGTATGTGCGTTAGTGTGTGTGTGTGTGTTTGTGGTTGTGTATGTATGTATATGAAAATGAGAGATAAAAAGTGATATATAATGCAGCTTACTTACGTGTCATTACTTTTTATTTCATAAATAAATAAGTAGTAACTGTCAGTAATCACTATTCAATACTTACTCTTTACGTTACCGTAAACCATAAAACATATCACACTTTAACCAATAAAACACCAAACATTACTTCCCCCATATACCACAAAGAAACAAATCACATCACTATCCCAACACCTCATACTAACAAAAACAAACACACAAACCTACCTCACACTACACATTCAAATGCTAAAAAAGAAAAGTATAAACCTACCACACACAATAACTCACGCCCAACCCTTTTCTTCTCCACGCTCACAACCCCCAGTGCAACAAGCAAAGATTCTCGGCCCAACAGAAGTCTATATCAAGAACGGATCCACAATCAGCCTCATCTGCACCGTGAACACCCACTCGGAGAACGTCGGGGTTGTCACTTGGTTCAGGAATAATGCTGAGCTCGATTATGATTCCCCACGGTAGGTCGTCCTGTTCCGTATGACTTGGGGAATTTAAAAGAAAGAAAAGAGAGAGAGAAAAAAAGAAAAATGAAAGGAAGATTGAAAGAAAAAAGAAAGATCTGAGGGTGGGAGTGGATATGGACGATTAAAAAGTTCTTGGATCTTGATGATAATAATGAATAATAGTAATGATAATTATAGGAATAATAATAATAATAATAATAATAATAATAATAATAATAGTGATAATAGCAATTACAAAAAAGATACATATATAATGAAAATCATTGTAATAGATGATATGATGAAAATAATAATGATAAAATTGTTAATGATAGTAGTATTAGTAGTAGTAGTAGTAGTAGTTGTAGTAGTAGTAGTAGTAGTAGTAATGATAATGATAATAATAAACAGTTACAAAGACAATGAAGAACATGATGATACTATTTATAAGCAAGTCATACAAATCATCACAAATAATATAAAACTTTAATATCAATAATGATAACGAATTGGATAACAGCAGTAAAGTAAAAGAGGTATAAACGGAGAATGGAAATCTTCACAAACAACAAGAGATATTTTCAATCGGCTTATATCATCGTCAGAATTACATACAAAGATGATTACAGAGTATATCTATATCAGACATGAGCTGACGAACCACCTGACGACCGTGACCTGCTGCTTTTTAATTATAATTGGATAATAACAGCTCTTGTTCTGTGAAGATATTCTTTCGTATTCATACCTTTTGTACATTTCTCACAATAAACACGGTTATATATATATATATATATATATATATATATATATATATATATATATATATATATATATATACATATATATATATATATATATATATATATATATATATATATATATATATATATATATATATATATATATATATATATATATGTATACACACACACACACACACACACGTATATATGTATATATATATATATATATATATATATATATATATATATATATATATATATATATATATGTATATATATATATATATATGTATATATATATATATATATATATATATATATATATATATATATATATATATATATATATATATATATATTATATATATATATATATATATATATATATTTATATATATATATATATATATATATATATATATATATATATATGTATATATATATATATATATATATATATATATATATATATATATATATATATATATATATATATATATATAAACATACGTGTGTGTGTGTATATATACATATATATATATATATATATATATATTATATATATATATATATATATATATATATATATATATATATATATATATGTATATATATATAT